CACCGCGTTTACAAAATAGTTGGAGTGATTATAACTTTGCACCATCATTTAATTTTCAAAATCAAAATTCGAATTAAATAGTGAATAAGTGATTACTTAAAATCAAGCAAACCACATTTCTTATAAAATGCAAAGGGGCTCAATGCAACTAATCATAACACAAGGGCATATCATACGCTATGTAATATTCTAAGGATGAAAATGTAACATCTATAAAATACACACATGAAGGAGTGTTGACCAGTCAAAGAACATTAAAAAGGCACAATTTAAAGAAGATTAGTTTGAATGGGACGTGCATTGACCAAATTGTTTGACTAACTTATTTGACTGCTTACTTACTGCACAAGGTTAAAAACATAAATCACTTTTCCATTTTAAAACATTTAAAGATGGTTATTAAAATACCACAAGATTAGAATATAGAGGTCGTTTCTAAACTCCTAAATAAGTAAGAAATTATTTTATGATAACGTATATAAAAAATATATCAAAGTAAGTATATATGTTATGAGGACGTGTATGTTGATTATTTATATTGATCATTACAATTTTTTTATAATAATGGAAACTAAATCAGACAAAATAATCACGAAGTTCAAAAAAATAAGCATTATATTTTATTAGTATAATATAATACATGCATTAAAAGTTATAATGTACTACAAATAAAGTCAAATAAGATGTTCTAAACCGAAAACAAAAATTAATATCGATATAATACCTTTAAATATAGATTAACCATGTTTAATTTAGAAAAAAAAATTGAGTTAAACTCATGAGTTTAGAGAGGAAGAGGGAGAGCCTTAATCTGGAATAATTACATCTAACGATTAAATTATTATGAACATAAGATAATTAAAAATGGAAATAATTAGAAAACATATAACTATTACTATTATTATCATGAAGAAGAAGAAGATTCAAACTTGTAGTGTTTATCGACGGCAACGGAGACATCCCAAGTGCAACTAAGACCCTCTGGTAAGATAACTAAGTCGCCGGCACCAAACTCCGATATCATCTCCGACGAATTTTTCCGGTAGACTTTGACTTTTCCTCTTAATAGATAGCATGTCTCTTGTGCGTCGAACTTCAACTGGTACTTCCCTGGCGAACATCCCCACCTTCAAAAATAAATCATATAAATAAATATGAAACCCTAATTACTAGTTCTTGTTTGTATGGTAAGTGCAAATCAACATGCACAAGGTACAGCTTGCAGAAAAGAGAGGGAGAGCGATTACTTGGGCCATGATTTGATACCCAGTTCAGAAAGATGAGATTCAGAAGGATGTTTGTGAACAATTATGCTTAGATTTGATGAAGACTCTCCTGCCATTTAACAAATTTAAGATTCTCTCTCTATAAAACATACACACACTCACAAAACACAGTTTTTTGATCAATCTGAGTTTGCACTACTACGTGTATA